ACCTGTACATGACACAGGGGAAGGTTAAAATACTTTATCACTTAAAACAAGATTATTATCCTTATTTTAACTTAAGTTATGCCATCTTATTTAATACCATAACAAATTTATGTTAATCTTTTGTGTGTTTTATGAAAGGCTATCCCTGTAACAGGCTGTGAAGGCCCATAGGGTTGTGAGACGTCAAGGCTCCCACATCTTTTAGACAGTCAGCTCACAGATGAAAAGAATGTCAATATCATGTGCCACTGCATATTGTTGAATACCACCAAATACAATTATTTGCAGAATACCATACTGGGTGAACAGCAGACCAGTAACCCTTTTGACAGTAGTGCACAATCAATCTGAGTAGCACAGCTTCAATGCATAGAAAGAACAGGGATGTCACGAAAGCAGAATGAGTGGCCCAACTCCCATAGCCACTGTGACCAATATTTCCTCCTATTTCCTTATAAACTTGGCCATGTAGGTGCTTTTATACTCTATAAGTTAGTTGGAAGAGGCACTGAATACAGAGACCAGCTTTGTTTCCAGCTGCATCTAGTATGATCATCATCATCAGTAATCTGTCAAGACGACAGGTCCACAGTCCCTTCCAAAACAATTCCTCCACTTAATGCGATCTAGAGCTTTCTCCTTCAAATGACAGTATCCTCTTCTGTCCCCAAGGTCATCCAGCATCTTCTTACGTCTTCTTCCTCGTCTTCTTGTCACTTCTATCCGCCCATCTATCTTTCCTTCGATAGCTTCTTTTAGAAGGCAGTTTCTGCGTAAAACATGACCAATCCAATTAGCCTTCCGTTTTCTTATTTCATGTAGGATATTCCTCTGCTCACTGACTCTAATTAACACTTCTTCATTTCTCACATAATCGGTCCAACTGATCTTCTCCATTCTTCTCCAACACCACATTTCGAAACTTTCCAGATGTTTCTGATCTACTGCCCTAAGTGTCCATGTTTCAGCCCCATACAGAGCTATGCTCCAAATGTAGCATTTCACTAGTTTCTTCCTCAAATTTAAGTCCAATTTGCTGGTAAAAAGATTCTTCTTCTTGCTAAATGCAGCTTTTGCCATGGCAATCCTGGATTTAATTTCACAAGTACACCTTCCATCATCTGTTAACAAGCTACCCAAATATTTAAAACATTTCACATTCTCCACTTGTTTTTGGTCTATCTTTATTGTGACTGGGGTTGGTTGTCTCGAAATTTTCATTACTTTTGTTTTCTCCACATTCATTTCCATGCCATAGCACCTTCCAATTTCAATTAGTCTATCAATCATGCCCTGTAGCACAGTTTCTTCCTTAGCCATTAACACAAGGTCATCTGCATATTTCACAGTTTGAATAATTTGCCCTCCTACTTTGAAGTCACCGAGCCCATCCAGAGCTTCCTTGGTAAGGCATTCGCTGTACAAGTTGAACAGAATTGGTGATAAACAGCATCCTTGTCGAACTCCTCTTCCAATCTGCACACTTCCTGTCTCCCCCCTGTCCAGTCGTACTCTAACTTTCTGATCCATGTACAATTTGCTAATCAATCTTCTTTCATGCCAATCGATACCTGTTTCTTTCAGGATCTGCATTAATTTGGTCCAGTTTACCCGGTCAAATGCCTTCTGCCAGTCTATGAAGCAAACACACAGTTCTTCATCTATCTCCAAAGTTCGTTCCGCTATAATTCTCATCATCCCAATTGCATCCCTGGTTCCTTTTCCTCTTCTAAATCCAAACTGATCTTCTCCAAGTACATCCTCTATTTTCCTTTCAATTCTTCTTTTAAGTATCTTTGCTATTATCTTTGCTGTATGTGCAATAAGACTTATTGTGCGATGGTCGCTGCATTTTGTAGCTTTTGTCTTTTTCTTTAAGGCAATCATTGTAACTTCTGTAAAGTCCTTGGGCCACTCTCCACTTTCATATATGGTGTTCATTAGTTTTGTCAGTGTTTTCAAACCACCTTCTCCCAGTAACTTGAGCACATCTCCAGGTACATCATCATCTCCTGTAGCCTTTCCCTTCCTCATTTCCTTGATAGCTTTTTCCACCTCACTTTGTAAAATATATGGTCCTTTCTCGTCTGTATCTACTTCTTCTTCCGGTTCAACTTCTAAGGTTTCTGGCCGATTAGGTCGATCATATAGTTCTGAAATATAATTTTCCCAAATTTTCAGCACTTGCCTCTGATCTACTATTCTATTCCCCTGGGAGTCTTCGATGCCAACATTTTGAATCCCATGATTCTCTTTCCATCCTAGTTCTTTTGTCTTCATGTACATCAAATCATAACGGCCTGTTCTTTGAAATTCCATAATCTCATTACATATCTTCTCAAGATATTCCTTTTTGGCCCTGTCCGTGGCTCTTTTCAATTCATTCCTCAGTCTCCTGTATTTCCTCCTGCCTTCTTCATTGTTGACATTCTTCCATTTCCTTCGCTCCTCCATTTTACTCATCATCTCCTGTGTAACCCATGGTTTTCTTGCTATCTTCTCAACTTTACCTACCAAATCACTGATAGTATCTAACATGCATTCTTTTATATTGTTCCACTGCGCTTCAGCATTTCCGCTTTCACCTTCAATTGCACCGAGTTTCTCTTCTAGGGTCTCTTGCACGCTTTGTCTTTGAGATGATAGCTGATAAAAAATTACTCCTCATAGAAGTGAAGAGGATATCCTTTTAGACTCCTTGGAAACAAGATACAAATATCAGAAGAGACAAGATTTTGAAACACCATCCCTGCAATGGGAAAGATGAACAGATGCCGTCAGCTTTGCAGCAACAAAGTTATGGAAAATCACTCAAAGTACATAGAAAATGGTTGTGTGGAACCCCAAGAACCTTGTTTATTGAAGTTTCTCAGAAAATAAACAGTACCTTAGAAGATTAGCATCATGTGCATTTACATTTTATAAATAAATTGCTGATTTACTATAGTTTCAATTAGAAGGTACCCCTGCTGTTATGAGAATTTGGATTAGGGACTTTTTCTGTTACAGAAATTATGCAACATGATCCTAAAATTCATGAATTTTAGGTGAATTTCTGCTCTTACAGAAATCTAGAATAAATACGAAAATTTTTAATATACAAAGTATAAAACAACAACAAATTCATGTGAAGCTATCTTTTTAAGGAATGACTAACTCATAAGGAATTCAGATATATAAATGCATTTCAGCATTATATACAAAGATGTAAAAATACACATGCAAAAAGAAAGAAAAAAGAAAGAAACTGAAATATTGGAATAATTTTATTTCCATACTAGCTACTACTGTACCTGGAAACCTCCCTTAATGTTATCTGAAAAAGGAATTGTTTCCTTTAATTTGAATTGTATTCATCCAGTACCTTAAGCAATAGATAAATGGAGATTATCGTCTAAGACAGTCTGTTGATTTTCAGGTTTTGTTATGTCCTCTCCAAACTCTTCAGCATATAGCTGAAAATATGATAAGTTCCTTCCCTGGCCACTGCCAAATCACAGTGCACCACATAGGCATTTGTCATATTGCCATGGATATTGTAACATTGTGGCAGCTAATAAAATTCAGTGTACTGTGCACTTTCTTATCAAGCTGATATTTAGGATGAAAATTTTCATGTGCTGAAGTGTGCATACATATTCAAGTTGAATTTTTGAAAATGATGTCTGCTTCTTAATTATGTAAATAAGTCTGTCTTTCAGTGCCTAAGGTATGAGCCTAAGTAATTTGTCATTTTACTGATCTGGAGTCTGTTTCTATTTCCAGTCTATAACAATTTTAAATTCAAAGTTCTAAGGCTATGATGAGTCTACTGCATCCACTGATATTGGGGCTGTTAAGCAAATAGACTGAAACATCTTCTAAGAATAGAACAGTGTTAGAAAGTTTAAATTCTGTCATTTTAAAATCTAATAATTTATAGTGCACAACTTTTTTTTTTAGTGCTGAATAACTCTTAAGTATGTAAGATTAGAAAACAAATTTAGTTCAGATGTGGTATATTCTACAACAGCCCAGTAATATTTGGATATAATAATTCCAGAATCTTTGACAATGTTAATATTAACTAAGGTCTCACCAGCACTTAATGTATTATCATATGTGAAAGTATTGTCCACAGTTGGCACTCCAGGATCTGTTGCAGTGTTTTCTGTATGTTAGTTATTAGTACCAATGAACTATATAGACTTGGACTAGACTTCAGGGATTACAATCTATGTCAATTTTCAGTAATGGTTAAAAATCTGCTGAATCTAATGCTAATATTAAAATTGTAATATGCTTTCAAATTCTAATCCTTTAGAATTTTATGTAACTTACTATAAATGTATCAGAGAGATAGAAGACTACATGACTAGAATTGACTTTATTTCAAGAGGTGAGATATCACTTTTTATCATGGAATTTAAAGCTGTAGTTTTGAGAAAAATATCACACATGTTTTCTTAATGCCATTTCACAAAATTCCTGGTTGCTTATAACAATCTCAGTTTCACAGAAACAATGTTCCAGTGGCAAACACAACGAACTACAGAGTAAATAGGCATATTCTTGAGCAGCCCCAAATTAAGCATTATATCAGTGAACTTTTTCTAACAGGTGTTCACGCTTTGATTTACATCACTCTTTCTTATATTACTGATTTCAAAAGATAATCTCTGTTATCCTCTGAATAAATAATTAAAATTAAAAAATCTGCATGGCCTTTTAATGGAAATTTTAGATATTTGATGAAGTTATAACTGTGTACTCTGGCTGATATTTGTAAGTATATTTCATTAGTCACAACTTTACTTTCATCACTGTCAAATTCCATATTTGTGTATTTATTGTTGTTGTTGTTGTTGTTGTTTTGTAATCTACATGCCATTCCTTAGAAGTACACGAATCTCTTGGTCAAATTTACACACTCAAAGACATCCAAGTTTAGGGCATGGAGTTTATACAGAAATTGTAAGAATAATTTGAGTTACCACATAACCTAATATTGCCAGGTTTGCTTCAAATTGTGAGATCTGAAATTCTCACAATGGTGAGTGGGATGAGATGCCATATATTTCGGCAGACAGATACCGGTGTGTTTCAGGGGAACCTGCTGCATTCATCATCTCAATAGAAGAGTGAGCTGCCTCACTTCCTTCACAGTTCTTGCCCATGCTTACCCATTGATGCAACAGACCTTTTAGGTCACCATCTCCCACTGGCTCACTTGCATTCCTGGTTCCTTCCCTTCTTCCCTATATCATGTACCATCTTTCTTACATGACTTATTATATTCTACACTGAAGATGAGATAAAAGGTTCATCAGAACTGTTGGTAGGCTATCCACCAGACTGTATGATGTCACATCCCAGAAGACTCTCTTGCCTCATACTTCTTATTTATATAATATATATAAAATTATGTTTGGCCACTCCTTATTTGAAAAGTAAACATCCAGTTAATAGTGATATTTCATAAGAGAAGTCTTGAATTTGCGACTTATTTAACAAGGAAATGTGGAAGTGAGACAATCTTGAGTTTTCCTATTTGATAATATGGTGTCAAATTTATTGTGGATCAGCACATTTATGATTAAATTACGCAACACTTTTGATAATGAAAATATGAGCTGTGACAGATAATTTTTAAAGTTTCCCTTTAATTAACACATTCACTGCCATTTTGTTTTGTGTAATTCTCTACTAGGATGAATAGTTAATAAATGTGCAGTCTGAATGCACTGTGTGTAATATATTGTAAGGTGTGGAAAATATGATTATGATTGTTAAACACTTCTTCTGCTGGATCTGTTCTTTTGATGAGCAGGTGAAACTACAAAGTTATAGTTCCTGCATACAGCTGAAGCATATGTGAGATAGTCATGAGTTTAATGTGTCACTGGAAATGGCAATAAACGTTTTAATTTTCATTATTGCTGTTTTTTTCCTTTCATTATTTTATTAAGATCATTAAGGGCAGTGGTTGAAAGGATCAAAGGAAGGAAATTAAATGTGTATGGACCTTAAAATTTATGAATCTTATGTATTCTGCTACTCTTTTCTGTAAATGTTTCATGGAAATTGATACCTGGTGTGCTTTCCTTGAACATGAACACTGTCCATTCTTACAGCAGCAGCCATAAGCATGAATAAGGACACTCATTCAAAATGATGCAGTGGTTCTGTAGAGGCCAGTGTAGCCACACAGCCGAGCCCTGAGTGCTGGCAGGAGTAATGCAGCAGCTGACAGATTTTCCAAGAAGTTTGAACACTCACACAGAAGGAGGTATATCTTGTCACCACTTGAGATGGACTTATGTAATGTGATGCGTCTCAAGCCTGCTGATTTGGGTAGGTAGCGATACAGCATTCTAGCTCCTGCAATGCAGGCAGAAGACAAAGGATTTAAGAAGTGACCCATTTATGTAATAACTGTTGAGGTATGTGCTGATGTACAAGTAACTTTCTCTTACAAGACTGGTAAAAGTGATGGGACTGAAACACTAAGATTTTGTGGTTCTTTCTGTAATAATCTCCTCTTTAGAAACAAATCTATATTGGAAGTAATTTTGTTTTGAAAAGTGAGACTTATTTTATTTGATAGTTCAGTAGCTTTGGTATATTCTCAGTTTATAATTTCTCAATTTAGAGATTGCAATTTATTACCATTATTTAAGTTTAAATATATTATCACATCCAGGAATTATTTTTTTAACTTTTGTGTTTATCATAAGCATAATTTCTTGATAATTGAAAGCACAGAAAAATTTTTAGACTGTAGAAAAATATAAAATGATTTGATTATGATATCATTCAGTCTTTATATAACCAAAAGTTAAGCATAACATTTTTGCCATGTGCATTGAACTACAAACAAATATATAACCCTTAAATGAAGCAAGAACTTATTTTCATGCAGCATTACAGTGTTGATTTGTACCTGTCCAGTAGAGCCAGTTCTTCTCAAATTTCTCTCCATCATCTCCCTCAAAGACTTTGTATATGGAAATGATGTAACCTGTGGTTGTGGAATGGGGACGCTTTGAGCTTGGGTCGAGAGGTGGCCTTGCTATAGTTGCCACTTCATTGAATAAATCTAGGGTATGGGCAGCAGTGTAACGCAAGTTACGGGGGTCAAATTTGCGCAGTGATGCTGCTTGAAGGTTGCGGAAAAAGTCCACTGGATCTGTCTGACTTTTATTGATGACATAGTAGGAGATGAAAGGAAACTGTGCTGAAAAAAATAGAAATAAGAATGAGGTGATAAATAAAAGCAAAGGATATGATTAATCAATATAGAAAATGAGGCCTTCTGTAAGTTATACTCATATGAAGACTTCATTTTAATAAATTCAACTTATTTTTTTTACAAAATTTTGCAGTTATTTAAATATTATATTTTATTAAATGTCATAGCTGTTTCAGTAGTTATGACATGCTGGAAGAGATGTAAGTTCGATACATGGGTGCTGGCTGTGAGGGAGGAGTCAGAAGCTGTCAAGGCTGCCATCTGTTAATGGCAAGACAAACTAATAGCACAGTGTAAGTGCAAACTACAAAATTTAAAGATGGTATAGTGCAGCTATTTGGACAGAGCAGCTGACTGCATCTTGGGAACGATATCAGTTGATAAGTGGTTAAGCAGTGATAATCTAACTTATGCAAGCTTTACCATTCTTTTCCATGTTGGAAAGTAACATTCCTTCCATGGCTGTCTTTGCTGACCCCACTTCAGTAAGTAAATCACTTGCAGCTGTCTTCTGTTGGGTCAGTGGACGGGCCAAGGGTGATTCAAGAACAGGTTCGATTGGCTCCATAGGAGTCATTAGATGCAGCAGTACACATAACTTAGGGTCATCCACCTCCAGGACATTTAGGAAGCTTGGTCCCTTTTCTGCCAAAGGCAACTGTAAAGAGGAAAAAGAAACATGTCTTATCATCAAACAACTCCCAAACAAATTATAAAATGAACCTGCTTCTGAGGTAGGTGAATCCCATCCACATACAACATATTTCTTTAAATCCTTTTTGATATTATTTTCCTTATGTATCCCTTGTGGTCCTTTCCCTTCAGGTTTCCTGATGAAAATTAAAGGTGAATATGTCATTTCACCTGTGCATGCTCCATGTCCCACCCTCTTTATCCTCTTTGACTTTATAAACTTAATGATATCTGATGATGAATATGGGATTTCTTCACTGAGGAATAATATAATTGATGATTTTCATCTCCTAGGTTTTTGGCTTGTTTTACAAAAAATTCTTTCTGTCCAAGTATTTTGTTTATAATAAACCAACATTATTTTTATGGCTTATTATTCCACGCATATGTGCTCACAGTTGTATTTATTTAGAAATGTTATGCAAACTCTGGGATATAACACTGTGTAGTCTGTTAAATGCTGGTATCTTACTCGGCTTATTCGACCATGAAGATGGAGGTGATATGTTCGCCCAAAATGTCAGTTGGCTCTCAACGGACTACACAGCGTTATATCCCACTGCTGTGGGAACCTTAAATCATACACAAATATAAGATATTTACAGTATCCTGAAAACAGGTAAGCAAATATGATTTACAAGTACCAGGGACACTATATGGAGGACTTAAAATTTGACAGACTGGTTACTGTATTTAACTAAACTGATTTTTGTACCAGTATGTAAACAAATTCATTGTTTGTTTACTTTTATACGGTGAATCTGTTAAAAATTAAAGTGTATTACAGTAAACCAAAATAATCCTACCATTATATGCTTTTCAAACGAAAACAACAATGTAGCCTTTAGGTGAATTATTTTGTTGAATTTTTATAGCATTCTCTTTCTGATGGAAAGTGATGGCACTGATAAAACATAAATTAGTGTTCCCCCATTAATACTGGCTTTTAATGAAGGACAGAAAATTTTGATAAAATAACTGTGTATATTAAGAGATAAATAAGTTCCTGAAAAAAAGAAATAATATTTTTCTAACTAAATATTTATTATTTTTAGTTTTATAATTTACTTTATAAATTGTTATTCCTTATATTCTTACTGGCTTCTTCTTCTGATTTTTGTTTTTGCAAATCTAACAGTTTTATCTGTGAAATAGATTCAAAATGCTATTGTTAATATAATTAAATTTTTACCTGAATATTTAGAAGGAATATCTCCATTTGACGAAATTGGCTTTGTATTTCAGGAACAGATAAGCAGGATGCAAGATGATCATTAACTACAAAAGCGTACATAACGAAATCACAGTTCTGTGAAAGGAATGTGATACAACTGATACAAATTAAAATACTGTAAGAATCCAATTTTGTGCTTTCCAGAGTTTTTTCAGAACTCTGAACTTCTCTATGCCAGCCCAAAAGTAGAAAAAAAAACATAAAACGGATATGTAAATTATCCTACATTGTAACTAGTTGTGACTTCAATGGTGATGATGACAAAATCAAGAAATAAACGTAAAACTGTTTATATGGCAGCATTGTTAAATACTTATGTATATAGAATGTCTAATAATAAAGCAATGTGCAATCTATATAGTTCTTGAACAATTTATATCAATGTTCTCATAATTCTAACGACACAGATTTATATAGGAAGAGAAAAATATCCAGTGAACTGAAAGTGTAAAAGAAATACATTTGCTTGTGTGTGCTATGGTGTGATCATCTTCGAAGTACCTGAAAACTGTTGGGCTGCTCAGGTGAGACAGACAGATGTTCCTTATATCAACGTGGGAGGATGGGTAGCAAACTTGACAAACCAAGAGCCTACACACATTACAGTTTCTTTCCCAATAAATTGTTCAACGTCTGCTCTGAATCAGGCATGTGTGATGTGCCAGCAGGCTATTTCCATCTTACATAGTGTTAATTTCAGGAATTTTTTAATAGATTCTGCTGGCGTATTTGTAATCTGGTCTGTTGTGATATCTGAGAAATCCAGTTTCTCTTTAGTGGGCATTTGGTCTTTTGATTCAGTTCTCTTTTCTTTTGTTCAACAATGAACGTGTTCTGTATTTGATGGGAAAGTCCAGCATATGGTATCCAAAGTTCTCAAGTTTAAACTGTCTTAATTTGTACTGTTTATAGCTCATTATGATGTGTATTAGTGACGATAATTAAGAAAACCTTGCTGAAAGGTCTTAGCAAATTCTACTTTTTTTCTCCAAATTTTGACAAATCGACAAAATTTTGTGCCTATAATTTTTCTAGTGAAACTACAAAATGGGTGGTATCCCAATGACTCTTCAGCCCCGAACTGTTGAATAATGTGATATGGCACTAAAACACATGTCAACAGACCATTGTGATCGGTTTCCGCACAATATGATTCTAATGCTTTAATTGTAAAATCTTAATATACTATATATGAATTTACTTTCCATTCACTCGTGAAGCTGAGTCTTCGCCAGTTGTGCAGCTACTCAAGAACTTCTCAGGATTTTATGGAACCCGAAGGTTCATTATGGTGTTCACAAGAGCCCTCCACTGGTCCCTATCCTGCGCCAGATCAGTCCAATCCATACCACTCCATCCAATTTCTTTAATATTCATTATTCTTCTATCTGCCTCTATGTCTTCCTAGTGGTCTCTTTCCTTCTGGCTTTCCCACCAATATCCTATATTATTTCCTCTTAGTTCCCATTCATGCTAATGCCCTGCCCACCTCATCCTCCTTGACTTGATCATTCTAATTATACTTGGAGAAGAGTACAAGTTATGAAGCTCCTCATTATGCAGTTTTCTCCAACCTCCTGTCACTTCATCTCTCTTTGGTCAAAATATTCTCCTCAACACCCTGTTCTCAAACACCCTCAGTCTATTTTCCTCTCTTAATGTCAGAGACCAAGTTTCACACCACAAGCAAAATTACGTATAGTTTTGTATATTCTAATTTTTATCGGGTTTACTCTTATCTTTTGGAAATAGGGAGTTTTCACTACAGGGGTGGCAACTTTGTTTAAATTTGAGGCAGTAGTCTGTTGTCAGAATATCTCGCTTCCACATGTCTGCCGTCCATGATTTAAATTCAGGGATAATGATACACTATTCATACTGAAAAAACGCAATTGTTAGCCAACTGGACTGCACAATGGGCCGATACTAAAATGTGATGCAGGGCCAGTAAATAGTTTATTTTACTGTTAATCATAATAACCATTATTAAGCCGAGATAAAAAATCTGAGCATTTTTATTTATGAACTCTGGATCCAGTAAGGCTCAGAAAAATATCTAAAAACATTTCAATTTTCGGTTCATACCTCTAAGAAAACATCCTTCCGGCTGCACTATGGCTCTGGGGTCGACTCAGCCTCTAATAGACATCAGTACCAGGAATTAATTAAATAATTTTCCTGGAGAGTAAAGTGCGGCCGGCGCGTAAGGCTGACAACCTTACCGCCATCTTTGAGCCGATTGTCTAGATAATGTGAGACCCTCAACGTCTCACAACACTATGGGCCTTCACGACCTATTAGAAGGATAGCTTTTCCTACATACCGGATTTCTGTTACAAAGAGCAGTTCAGTTCTTATGTGTAAAATATCAAGAGCTGTCTGCGGTGAAAGTCAGGTGGAACCCATCAATACGAGTATACACTGTGAGCGAAATGTCAAGCCCTGACTCTAAAGTATATACTGTACATATACCACTATTCCATAAAGGTGTGAGTTCGTGTATTTCCTTGGTTTCAGCACCAGGGTGGAAGAATCTGTCTTCAGAAAGAACTTAGCCAGTCGTGACAATATCAAAGTTGTGAGAATTCTATATAAGGTTGGGTGGGGGATATGACGTCTCTCGTTTGGAAGCCTCTGGATTCTGTTCCTCCACACCAATTACCTGATCGAGGTGTCACTAAAATTGGTACTAAAGTAGATAAATGTTTTAGATTACACAGTTTCCAAACCCATGTTCTATTGTAAGGATTTGGAAATAATGTTTGTGATAATGATGTTACATTCGGTTACATGAATTTAGGTCACAGACTGCCAACTAATTTGACAGAATGCCCCTGGTACATGGCACATCATTTCGATCCACTTTAGCATGTCACAGAAAAGAACAAGAAGTTATGGAAAATATTTATGAAGCCAGTTTTTCTTAAAATGTTTTTTTTAATTGGCTATTTGAAAACTCTGTCAGCATAAGGAATGGTAGGATGGTTAGTGAGTGTGGAGCAATTGGTGGAATGATAATTGGCAGGGGAAACCGAAGTACTTGCAGAAAACCTGCTCCAGTGCCAACTTTGTATACCACAAATCCCATACAACTTGACTTGGGATCGAATCGGGGCCTCTGCGGTGGGAAGTCGTCGACTACCCACTTCAGCTATGATACAGCCTTCGTAATTCTCCAATTTATGAATTGGAAAGTACGTGGAAGAAGTGGTAGAGGACTAAAACTACTGCTCCTGATTTTGCTTGGAGGCACTGAGGAAAACAGCGAGAACATCAGTCAGGATAGGATAGATCATAAAGAAATTTTTGATACTTTTCAAATTTATTTTCATGCAATAATTTACATGTCTAACTTCAATTATTTATTGGTCATTACATTGTAACCGAAAGCTAAGTTTGGTCTTCAGGTAATAAATATTCTTGACTTTTTATTGGGGAGGTGTTTTATTCGAATCTCTGTCGGAACATCCGCTTTCGTCGTCTTCTTCAGTCGCTCCGGGAACATTTCGGCCATTATGGCCTCGATCAGGCCATGATGGTTTACTTCCAAATCCTTTCCAATTCTTCACTTGTCTACAATCCTGACATCTGACGCTATATAGTTTCAGTCCTGAGAGCGATGTTGGTATTCAACAACGCTGTGAAATTCCTGTACTCAATTCAGAAGGAACAAGTTTATGCAATGACGAAAATAGTACAATAATTGAGTGGATTCTAGTGACATAATGCTTACGCTAAGTTTCATGAAAGTCCGTTTGTACAATAAGCCCACCTCTTGTTTTAAGGTAAGGTAAGCCGAATAGAAAGGTTTGGTCATATTTCTATTTGTAAATAAAATATTTGATCAATATACGGTAGTAGTTCACGACATTATTGACCTGAGCAGAGAATCCTGAATAATTCATTGCGAAGTTGCGTCATGAAGCAATGTTGTCAGAAGATATTCAAGAGACCAAACTTCCAATAAATATTCATTTAGTCTGACAATAATGGTAGAGAAGGCGGTGGGCAAGCAACCTTGAGACACGCAATACAGATTAAATTGAAACAATTATTAAAATTCTCTGCTACTATTACAACACTGTGAAGAACATAAAGGGAACCGTGAAACGAAATCTACAGAGACAAGAGTGGAAGTATGTCCGGTAACGAAGTACACGTAAATGTCCTGCATACAATTTATTGTTTCTGAACGTAACACACTGATGTTCATTTATTGCTAATGCAAATTTGTTGTTGACAGAACCTAGTCTCCAAAAAGTTGCGTTTTGAAATAAAAACAGGACGATGGATAACATCCAGAAACTATTTGTATTAATGTACCATCGTCACAAACTTTTTAATCTTATTTATTGTTCACTCGCTAATGGAGCTGAGCCCGTCTTGAGAAGCCGCCAATTGTGCAGCCACTCAAGCACTTCCCAGCATTTTATGGAACCGAAAGGTTCATTACCGTGTTCACAAGAACCCTCCACTGGTCCCTATCCTGAGCCAGATCAAGCCAATCCATACCATCCCATCTCTCTGAGATCCATTTTAATATTGCCCATCCACCTCCGTCTTAGTCTTCCCAGGGGTCGCCTTCCTTCCGGTTTTCCCACCAAAATCCTATATGCATTCCTCCTCTCCCCCTTTCCTGCTACATACCCTCCCCACCTCATCCTCCTTGACTTGATCATTCTAATTATACTTGGAGAAGAGTACAAGTTATGAAGCTCCTCATTATGCAGTTTTCTCCAATCTCCCGTAACTTCATCACTCTTCGGTCCAAATATTCTCCTCAGCACCCTGTTCTCAAACACCCTCGGTCTATGTTCCTCCCTTAAAGTCAGAGATCAAGTTTATTATTTATTTGTGACAAATCTAATCAATACTACACAGTAGAAACTTTTTGCCATACATATTGTTACATATATGAAATAACTCCACCATTCAACGAATTCACTCAAGTCTGAGCTCCTGTGTATCATTTCGTACCGTGCTGCTTTTCTTTTTTTTTAGGGCGAAGAATTGTTAGCCACTGGGTCAAATCCACAAGTTGGAGGACCATCCATTGTCGCCTGTCCGCGACTGTCTAACCTGACAACTCGCTATGCTACATCGACAAGGGACCTAAATAACATGGCGTTGAAACATACCAAAAAAAGTCCTTACTAAGTAACAAGTCAAATGCCGAGTAAGATATGAAGCCGAGACTTAAAGACCGAGGATATGACAAAGTACTGCCCGGTCAGGGTTAACACACGTATAATGATGCAGTGATAGATGAGTACGGCGCAATGGTTAAATAATGATTAGCAAGGGAATATCGAAGAAACTTGGAAAAATACCAGCTTCAATGCCTCTTGTTCCACCATGAATCTTGTATGATGTTTCTTGGGACTGAACCCTGACTTCAATAGTGAGAAGCTGGGGATAGCTGGCCGAGCCATGGAGCGCCCTTTTCAAATAATCGTCATGCAACATAATATTTCAATAAACTTATGCTTTTTAATGAGACAAATTTTGCAATTTTTCGGTTAGTTTATTCGACGAGCTTTTCTGATAAACTAAACTATTTGAGGGGGTTACTTTTCGAAAGTCAGTATACCGTCGAATGAGAGTATGATGGATGGGTTGATTAATTGGAAAGGATTTGGAAGGATGCGGTAGCGGCCCAATCGAAATAATATCCAGACGCTTGTCTGGAGAGACTGAGGAAAATACATGATAACTTAGGAAGACATTGCATTAGCGAACTCATAACATTAAGAGAGACCAGGATGGACGCAGGATTCAGGTACAGAAATAAATATTTACATCCAACGGACACCGAGCGCTAGCAGTATACCTGTAAGATAATAACATAACGCATATTCGGTCAATGAACGAATCTTCAAGCGGACTTCCAGAATTTACCTACTTCGAATCTCTGCCGAATTTTGTAGAGATTTTAGTTTCCTCTAGTCTTTCAGTCGAAAGACAGGAGAGTACCTAACAGGACAAGACCGTCTCCTTCAAAGTCCTTACCCACACACCACTCATGGTCATTTTCACACCATATTCGACATTTTGTAACCAGTGTAGTTAAAACAACGTTGATATAGATACTGTAAGAATCAACATGTCACAGTGAGGGAATTCTTATGTTCAGAACTCATTTTAAAGGATCCAAGAAATACACCTCTCACTCATGGACCTGAGCCCTTCTGGAGAAGCCGCCAATTGTGCAGCTACTCAAGAATTTCCTAGCATTTTATGGAACCCGAAGGTTCATTACCGTGTTCACAAGATCCCTCCACTGGTCCCTATCTTGAGCCAGATCAACCCAATTAATATCATCTAATCCTATATAAGATCCATTATAATATTGTCCACCCACCTACGCCTTGGACTTCCCAGTGGTCTCTCTCATTGTATCTTTCCCACCAATATCATATATGCATTTCTCTTCTCACCCCTTCGTGCTATATGCCCTGCCCACCTCATCCTACTTGACTTGATCATTCTAATTATACGTGGAGAATAGTATAAGTTATGAACCTCATTATGCAGCTTTCTCCAGTCTCCTTTGACTTCATCTCCAGGAAATATACCAAAGATAATAAAAGTAAGCACATAGCAAACAGAGCTGCTTGCTGCATGCTTCATGCTGGTTTCTTGCTTGGATTATTATTCTGCCCTGAAGATGGAGGCGATATGTTCCTCGGGAACGTCGGTTGATTTTCGGTCGGGTAATTGCTGCTGGTCCTCGCCAGCATAGTCATACTTTGTTCCGAGTCCCGTGTGGCTCGTGACCATATTTTACTGACTCACGACTCTGGGAGTCGTGCAACTCCGTTTATTGGTTGTTTTTCAACGGACTACACGGCGTTATATCCCAGAAGATGATTCTTATTTCTAATAAGAAAACTGAAATTAACTGAAATGATATTACTGAATGCCGCGGTTGAACGTTCAGCACTCGTGGTTTGTTTGAACATACAGACACTACACTGTTAAAAGATCAGCATAACGAAATACAATTTAAAATTAAGAATGCCGTCTTCCGAGCTGTGCCGCCGTGTGGGTATTTTGTTAACCGACGTTTCGGAGGACTGACACATGCTCACGCTGGTTCAAAGCTCGCGGATTTCTTATGCCCTGAATATGGAGGCGATGCATTCCTTCGAAACATCGGTTAACAAAATACCTACACGGTGGCACATCCCAGAAAACGGCATTCTTAATTTTAAATCGTTTTTCGTTATGATGATTTTTTAACAGTGTAGTCACTGCTGTGAGAACCTCAAATCTTACAATTTAAAAAGAACTCTATGGATTGTAGTTACAGTAAACTATACATTATATGAGGCTTATAGGCCGTGATATAGCGTACAAGCTGGAAGGTCGCGAGTTCAAGTCCCGATGAGGTCATTGGATGTTTTTCAATCTAATCTTTCTAGCCTCACTATGGCCCTGGGGTCGACTCAGCCTCTAACAAAAGTATCAGGAATTAATTAAATAATTTTCCTGGGGAGTAAAGCGCGGCCGGTGAGTAAGGCTGACAAACTTACCGCCATCTTTGAGCCGCTTGTCTAGATAATGTGGGACCCTCAACGTCTCACAACCCTGTGGGCCTCCAGGGCCTGTTACAGGGANGGGGGGGGGTAAACCGGCTGAGGAGTGAAGCTAACCGCTCACCTCCATCTAGTACCGAGGTCAAGAATGGTGGAGATATACCGCCACTTCTCCACAAGTCTTCATGGCGTGGTGCTTAATTAATAACGTACACTTTTATAATTTCTTAATCAAATTGTTAAGTTTGCATTTGGCTTCAAGTGATGGAGGCGTTATATTTGATGGGCAGTAACAAGCAGAAATTTGATTTTCTCAGCAACTTCTATTACATACATCTCCCACCAAACAATAAATTTAATCTTCTCCGATCATTAGTTTCTGAGAAAAAAAACATGCCGACGGACACGAAACTTTATTACATGTTCATTTTATATATATTGTACAAATAATCATTATTAAAGATGTACAGTTTTTAAAATAAATTGTAGGTTTAGTCAAATTCACACCTTATTCCTTATCACACCCTTATGTCTGTGAGAACGATGTGTTTTCTTGTCAGGTTTATTCATGATTTTGCCTCGTGAATTTCGTGGTTCTACAGTAACACATTGCTGTAGAATAGGAATATATTCGACTTGGTCTGTAGTCACACATCTGTCTTATTTAGCTCGTCGTACATGCCAAGTCCCCTCCCCCGCATTTCTTTGTAGTATTCATGCGTAACAAATTTGGAATCGTGTTATGCCTCATAGATGTGGCACACCAACATGCAAACGAATGACATGCCTGCATGCGTAAAGACCACTGAACTAACTAACTCACCGGAACTCCAGCGGGAAGGAACCTGTCCAGGCTAGCCACGGGGATGATAAAGCAGTCCTTGTTGAGTGTGGCTAGGGTAACAGGTTCCCGTTGGACCGCAGGTGCTGTGACGTTACTCTGCCGCGTTCCGCTACTGAAGCTCACTTGCCTGCTGGCAGTTGTTGTAGGCACCTCAGACACCAGAAGCGAGGTATTGTCCGATCGTCCACTTGCCTTCCGCCTGTTCCCACCGCCGACACCACCCACAGCCCACTTCATGAGTGTCACGGAGGGTCTGCGTTGGCTCATGGGTTCAGACTCAAAGCATCCACCGCCTGTAGGACTCAGGAAGATGTGGGTACGGTAGTGGTGTTCCTCCATCACAGTATACCCAGATTCCCGACTTCTCTTCCCATGCAATCCCTTTCCCACTTTCCCGCTAACTTTCCCATAATTTCTTTCCGGTTCTCCATGAAAATGTTTACGGAACAAAATATTCATGGCCGAAATTGGAACTAAAGTTAATTCGCGTTTCTAAGCCACGGTACTCATCCGTGAGTGCAGCGGGTGTGCTGCTCGTAGCGTGGAGTGGCCACTGTCCTACTCAACACAAGACAGGGCTACCACTGTGAAGGAGAGAGTGGGGGAACCAATGGTCCTAAACACATACAGCGTGCTTTATGATGCTATTTTCAGAAGCCCCCTCCACTCCGCCTTGTAGTGAAGAACTGAGCCAACCTGCAAGTGACCCCACCTCTCACGTGTACCAATGTCAATTCGCTCAATACGACTAAGCCTGGGTAAACTAAGGAGGAAAGATTGTTACAAGTTTAATTTTCGGTATTGTGATGGATGAGAGGCGCAGCGATCAATTAATTTTGCATTACATATTTTGCTACACAACTAACCAACCAAGCAACTAATTTGTTCTTGGACTCTGGTACATAATCCTACAGTATTAACACTGTGGCCACTATACAAGGTCCTGAGCCAGTTCCAACCTCTCAAACTACATTCTTAGTAATCACTTAATATTATGCTGTCATCTTTCTTCCCTACAAATATTCTCTATGTATTTCTTTTGTCCCTATCCTAGCTGCATACCTAGCCCATCGTAACAATACTGGATGGCTTATATAATACACTCGTTTGGTTAGATTGTGTAGGAAATGACTGCTCGAAAACATTCGTCATATTAATGCAGAACATTCAATTTTCAGCTTTATTTTACCTATTGCAAGTTCAAAAAATGTATTTCTTAATTAATTACACGATGCTGTTGTATAAACTATTTCACCTTTTCCCAAAGAAGGAGCCCCCCCCCCCCAGGGGGTCACCGAAAAACGTGCCAGTTAATAAATGCTTAATTAATTTCATTCTTAAAATGCCACATTACATTAAAACATACAATTTAATGGAAGACGCAATTCAGATGTATCACTGAGGTTCATTAGTAATTAACGATGTTTTAAAGTTACTAAATTAGATTTTATATAACTTGCATTGTCAATAGGTCTCAGTTATTCACACCAAGGGAGACTCAGATTAAAAGCGTCTGGAAACTAGTGAACTAACAAATTTAACTCTAGTAACAAATCTGAAGGTTGAGCACCGATAAACCTAGAGCAATCCAATCCTCTAAACCTATTTTCGTAACATTGACCTTCTTTAAATATCACACCATATTTCCACAGTTTAGTTCGTATCCTGCAATCTATCTAGATCAAAATTTATGTAACTGCAGTAACCTTTCTGTATATAGAAAAATGTAATATAACATCCTCTCCGAGTCAGTTCCATTTACAACGAATTCGCGAGAACGGCGATGGAGACAGCGCTTGATGGCTTGCATTCACGCCGACCGCAGGGTATGATAACACATGGCGCTGCAATAGATCAGTGACCGAATCATCTTTAGGTCGGTAGTCGTACGCAGGTGAATTTGACGCGTGCGCAAAGCTGTCTTTATCTAAAATGACTGTATGACACTCCTGACATGGGAACTCCCTACGTCCGGGTCTTATGGGACAATTTTATTTCTATGTTCTTTTTCTTTGCACTTTCAACATTAATACTGACCTACCTGTGGGCAGTGAGCCAGCATTTCTTCTCATCTGCAAAGAGGCAGGCTCTCACATCAAATCTACCTCGCATACGCATACACAAACTACACAGAGACATTACTACAGAGCAATGTTTATTTTACTACACACTCAAGAGCTCCATCTTGTTGTTCGTAAAAGGAAGGTGATTTTTGCAGTGGTGATTTATTTGTGGTATAATTTGTGTACGCGGTGAGTAGTAATTTGGTTACATATTCACATATACTTAACGGTTAAGTTAGGACGCTACGTAAACTAAAGGAAATTAAGACATTGGCGATAATCTGAGAACATGTAAAATGATATTATTACAAAAACTAGAAGTTTAACAACTGATTTAAATCCATTTATTTTGTTGAAAAAATGTTTCCTTCCTACCGTTGCTGGTGTCATTTTTAACGATAACTTTTACTCCATTCGAAGACAAAAATGAAGTTGCTGTGGACTCTAGACACTTCCAGATCTACTCAGTTGTGACATGTGTGCATTTTTATCTGTAATGTTCATTGCCAAGGTCAACTTCCTGTTTAATATTTTCAAACAGTTGGTCCTTTATGAATCTGTGTACCCATCGATACACGGAAAGTGAATACAAAATGTTTTTTCATTTGTTTCCGATTACTGACTTCAGAAGCACAGTTTTCAGAAGTTCAAGTAACTGCATGTTGCAGGGATCCTCTTCAGAAGCAGAATACGAAATCTTTAGCTTCTTTTGGAATCTGAAAATTGAATATAATGTTCACAAGGGCCTAACAATTGACTCTATCCTGAACCAGTTTGTTTCCAAAGTTGTCTCAACCCTTCAGTTTTCCCGGCTAAATTTCGTATACATTTATTATCTGCTATTTGTGGGTGGATAATAATAGAATAGATCTTAGAGAGGTAGGATGGGATGATGGATTGATCTGGCTAAGGATAGGGACCAGTGGAGGGCTCTTGTGAACACGGTAACGAACCTTCGGGTTCCATGAAATTTTGGGAAGTTCTTGAGTAGCTGCAGATTTGGCTTCTCCTCAATAAGGGCTCAGCTCCGTGAAGTTCGTTATCTGCTCTTTACTTCCGTTACTTAGGTCGTGCCAAAAAGTCCGTCAATAAGATGGAGGTTCACCCCATGTCGGCTGTCCCCTATGCTTATTCAGTATAACCAGAAACATGTTCGGTTAACGTCCTTACTACCAGGAAGCCGTCTCCTCCACGTGCAATCTGGGCATGGTGACACTGACACACTTAACACATTCCACTTTTAAATATTCTCAGTTTTCTATCCTACGTTCATTCACATTTAAATATCCAAATTTTAAAGTGGAAAATGTCATGTAAACGAATTTGTTATTATTACATGAGATGCAACTTCAATATAATCCACAAACAAATTCTGAAGGAATATAATAATTTAATTAGTTCAGAATAGTGTCCGTCGTTAAACCGCTATGACCTTGTTTTGTATCAGCTGTTACCTTGGCAATGGCTTTGTTGTTTTGGAAACAATAGTATGGCTAAATGTCGGGGTCATTTGGCTAGGATTCGTATGACAGACAGGCGGGAGAGTTGAACATAGGGTCAAGTTGTATTTTTAATGTAAGCCTGTGTAGTGTATAGACCTTATCAAAGTACCCTCTACCGTTGCTAGCTTTCCGCTCTTGGGTCGATTGTAATCAGGGAATGTACAATGTTAGCCCTGACTCTTGGGAAAAGTTCTAAGGTCAGAATAGGGTAACACGGAAACACATCCATTCTACAAACAAAGCTCGACATTATTGATCCCATGCTGATTAATCAATACCGTTTTTATACACTGTGTTGGGACATGGCACACACACACAAACACATGGCATGCAGACTGCAAGGCTGTGCATGTACAATGACTCTGGTTCCTTTCCCGAAAAACAAAGCGACCAGCAAGACCAAGTCCTTGTAGTATATGCAGATAAGAGGCACCTCGGCTGTTATTAACATTCAGCAAAGTCGTCTGTTCATATACTAAACACAGAAATATGCAACAACACCAGACACGCCGAACAGGCTGGTTTAGAGTAGATTTTTCCAAACTCGTTGTTCGCGGACTGCCCGTTGTGCGTGAAAAAATTTCAAGTGATCCGCCTTCCATTTTCAAAGTCAAGACCTTTCGTGTATGAGCAGATACATATGTGTTTTACATGAAAAAATAATTACATTACTTCCTCTTTAAAAGTCAAGGCGGTGTAAATGTTGACTAGATTTTACTTTCATTTCATCAGAATTCTTAAAACTATTTCGTGTAATATTCGGGTAGTCAGCCAAAAAGAAAAGATCTATGAAGTAAATGACCCAATAAATTTTAGGACCCCCTGTATCCGGGAGGTTCTCGGTTCGAATCTTGGCCAGAAAACAGGCTACTCTGATGGAAGATTACATAGTTTTCCTCCATCCCTACGGGATAATACCTCGATTAAGCCATGCTATCCTGACAGGGGAGTTTCGTAGTTTTCCTCAGTTGCTTAAGGCGAATGCCAATACCTCAAGCAGGTCACGAGCGCTTTCTTTCAAATTATTTCCAGTTTTTCATTCATCCTTCATTCTACAGTCTGAAGTTATATGTAGAGTATCGATAATGAAAAGCGTCGTGAAAATAACCCATAACAAATTACACGAAATAAGAGTCACTAAAGGACGCACTGCCGGTCACGGTAGCCGAGCGGTCTAAGGCATGCACTGTCTTCGCTCGCTCGGAAGCCGGGATCGTGGGTTCGAATCCCACTCAGGGCATGGATGTTTGTGTGCGTTTTTCTGTGTTTGTGTACAGGTAGAGGCCTTGCGAAGAGCTGATCACTCGCCCAAGGAGTCCTACCGTATGTGTAAGATCGAGAAAAACCGAAGTGAATGGAGTTCATGGAGGTAGGCCTAGGCCTACTGGGGCTGTAGTGCCAAGGAAAAAAAAAGTACGCAATACAATTGTAAGCCGGAAGAAGTAGAACTGGTTTTGCATAAAAGTACAGACTTACAGACCTCATATTTCTTTAATCAATATTGAGTGCAAATTGATATTGTCATTGACTGTTTTACAGCCATACAGCGTTAACTTATACCTCATTAAGAATTATAATTTTAATGATGCGCATATTTTACTAAATAAAAAAGAAGAAACGGCAATTTATAGGTTAGCGTTAGATGCACGGATCATACAATAGAGGGAAATATACACACAATCTGCGTAACGGGTTGCAAATACGTGCTAGCGGGTGAATCAGACACTGGTCCATGTGCTTATAATAGCACATCCTTCGACTGGCTGCAGCAGATACTGAACTTTTATCTTCCAACTCAAAAGTATGACGAAAGCAGGGGAGAAGAGGGGAATGGCCAGGCTTCAGAAAGCAGGTCAATGTCCATATCCAAAATATAATTCTTCTCTTAAATCAATGTCATTCATTCTTTTTAGGCAGAAGCGGAAGTTAATGATATTTCCCACATATAGATTTGTAATCAGGATCGAAAGGATAATTCTACGGGGAATTTTCAAGTTGGAA